AAAGTGGCTGATAATATACATTGTAAAAGCAATCTATTTATTTAGCTAGAGAGAGAGCAGTAAAAGTTTTACTAACGATCTTTCTTAGGGGATTAACTAAATCTTCCATATAATGTACTATCAATAACTGAAAGTCTACTTTAAAGTATTATAGACATCCTTGATAATCTCTATATCTCAACTTGCTTTATATATAAATTGAAATACTTAAATACTTAAAATTATATAACATAAAATCTGTTGCATAGACAAATCAAATGCTTCCAATATGCACACGTTTAGTTCTATTTGTTCCAGACACAAATTGGTTAGATTTAACTGCAATCTGTAATGCGATACACTCCGATGATCAATAATCATCTGCGAGTCTTTTGGCAAATTACGTTTGCGCCGTAATCACATTAGATAAGACAATTGTGGGCGGCCTTCGCTTGGCAGAGTGAATTAGAATACAATCACCGAGAGAGAGGGAGAGGGAGAGGGAGAGAGAGTAGTTCTATATATGTATATATAGACCAATTCATATTAAAGTTAACTTAACTCATTTGTTTGCCAGCCACGACCCCAACACCAACCCAACGCTCAATGCTTTCCGGGCAAACAAATCGCTAGCAATTTAAAGCGTGCTGCCAAGCAACCAACTTGCTACTTATGCACAGCAGCTGCGGGGGAGGGAGGGGGCTGTGGCATGAAGGGGGAGCGTTGGGTTTGGGGAATGTGTGCTAATGTAGTTTATGCCCACAATTTAGCATTTCGAACGCACGCAGCTGCAGTGAATCGCATAGGTTCGCCTAATTTGCATATTGTCGGATGCAATTGCATTACAGAGCGTACCGAGCGGGGGGTGGCTGGCAGGCGGTGGATGGGAATGTGGGGATGGAGGTGGCGCTATCTAATCAATTGGCTGTTGTTGTGCGTTAATGAAATGAACCGTTTCATCTGGCCAAAGAGCAGCTGGCTGAGCACACATACCATATCTATAAAAAGGAAGTGACTGGACGAAAGTCTAGACTTTTGCCATAGTGCAAACAGCTCACTAATTACTCTGCATATGAAAATGTAATTATGTATGTTGAATATAAGCAAACATGTGGCAAGCAGCCACAAAGAGCTGCAGAGTCGAGGTTAGAGCACTGACAGGAACGGCAACAGCAACAGCAGCAGCAGCAGAGAGAATAGCAACAAGCTGGCAGGCAGCAGGCGAGGCACAAGCTTCCAAGCTGTCCAAGGTGGCAATTATTTAAGAACCTGAAACGGCACACTGTGCAACATAATTAAATACATGCTTAACGTGCCCTGTCTTGCCGAAACTCTAACGCCAACTCTGCACTCAACCTGCCCCGATCAGCTGCACCTGTTTAGCAGCTGAACGTGTTAATTTTTAAATTAAATGCTCAAATTTCAAAGAAAATTATGAAATATTTGAATGGGTAGCAGGAATTGTGGAAAATTTTGTTGTTCTGATTAAAGCTGTAGAACTTGAATTCCATGCCATCAATATTTTAAAACTCTTTGCACTCAAAGTTAACTTAGATTTAAGCTTAAGCGTTTGTCCAAAAAAACGAGGTAAATATTATATAAATTTTCATCTCACTAAAATTCAATCAAGTTTAATAATTTAATGGTATGTTATTTATAGCCTGAAACAGATTATCAAGAGATAAGAATATTTTTAAAACTTTGCGCAATTATTAACCTCCGATTAGAAATCTTCCAATCAACAAGAAAATATTGAATATTTAAAATTTTATTTTATTTAAAACTGAATTTCTTTTCGTAAGTGGAGCAAAAGCAGCTTTGGCTTTTGCGTTGCAGAGTGAAGTCCTTAAGTGCCACGCCCCGCACAGCCTTTGCGTTTCTAACGGTGGAACTTAAGTATTAGCAGACCTTGTGACAGTTTAAATTTCCAAAGCGACATTCCCCGTAGTTGTTGCGGTTGCATATTTCTCATAATTTTCATTTTTTATTTTCTGCTTTTTTTTTTTGTGCTGGCGGAAACACAACGAACTGCCAAATGGCTAGCGCAAAGCGGAAGAAAAACTAAAACAAATGTCAGTCGTAGTTGACGCGTAGCCACCGACCAACCAACCAAGCGCCACTTGGTGCACCAACCCGCAACTCGCACCCAACCCGCTACGGCGGCAGCTTCAGGCAGCCAGCGAAATGCAAATGTCATTTGCAGTTGACACTTGACTCAGCACTTCGCACTGTCCTAGGGCACTTTGGGGTTTTCACCTGCGACGGCTGCTGCTCCAGCGCCAGCCACTGCATCCAGTTGTTGGCACAATGGTCGCTACACACCCGCACCGCATAAAGAGGTTAAATAAAAAAGGAGCAGAGGTGGATAAAAAAAAAAAACGGCTACTAAAGTCAGCTGAACAGGAACAAAGTCGTGGCCCCAGTGGGGAAAGCGGCAGCTGGCGCGTCCACGTTGTCGTCTTTATGGAGCATTCTCGGGATCGTCATTAGGAGGCCATGCGTCAAAGTATGCGCTTTGTTGTTGCTGCCACTACTGCGTGTTAATAGCCCCCCAACCGTGGTAGACGCCGACATTTGCATGACTTGACACACGGGGCGGCACCAGTTGGGCGTGGCAAGTCAAGTGTTGCGTCTGACGTGCGAGGCGAAAGTGAGTGAGAGTTTGTGCATGAATTAGATGCAGTTGCATTTAATGTGAAACAGAGCGGGGCTCATTAAAGCTGATCGAGAATTCCCTTAAGAGCCTGATTCATATAATTTAAAATTTAATTAAATTAATTAAAATTCAATATGCTAATTTTAAGTTTTTTGTAATTTTCTTTATTGTATTTAACATAGCAGCAAATTTGAATTGTTTGACGCGGCGTATGATTAATATATACGCGCTGCTCAGAAAACGACGCGTTGGCCATTTTTCGAACTAGCGAAAGCTTTCTTCATAGCTTTTGCATATGCCTGATTAATGCAGACAATAGATGGCGCATTTGTTGCCAATTATGAATAACAATAAAATGTGATAGCTGTTTTCTCTTGTTACAAAATTATTTTAAATTGCCACAAAAAATTTAAAAAAAATTAAATATAGAAAAAATAATAATAATAATAGATAAAAAAATAACAATAGAAATTTAATAATAAGATTCACAAAAACTTCTCAAATACTATAATACTTCTGTCAGCCTCAGCCCAAAGGTTATTACAGATGGTATGCATCCAGTTGTAATAATATATATTCATATGTTTCGACTTACAACTGTTTTAGGCGCTGGCCGTAGCCAGCAAAACAGTTCAAATTGGCAGAGATTTATATATTGAAGTGAGGGCCTATTTCCGATACAAATACATTTGCCAACTAATCTGAGAGAGCGCACTCGTAGCAGACACTTTTTTCTATACATATTATATATTGCACCAGCGGATCTGTTGAGTTCAACTTCGGACAGTCGCTCTTTGGCTTGGCAATTGAACGGCACGCAGCTCGCAACTGACTCCGGAAACAAATAAGCTTTGCTGTTGGCAAAACTACGGCGACATGTACACACAGCAGGTACCACAGGATCAGACCTCAGGAGAGACAGCGCTGTGGACAGGGCAAGGACGTCAAGGTGGCGCCGGCAACCAGGGTCTAAACAATCATACGTTTACTGCATCCTCCACGATGACCATGCCGCAGAATATTTTTACAAATCCAGCCATACAGCCCTCCAGCGTGATCAACTTGTCCAATTCCACAGACGTGGTCATTGGGCCCATGACACAGTATCAGGGACCGGTCAGCATATATTACATGGATGCCAGCATGCAGACAGCTGCAGGTGAGTTGCCAAAAGGTGAGCCTAGTTTAAGAGCAAGTCGAATATTCTCAGAATATGTCAAATACTTTTGGAGTTCCTCAAGCAAAGCTTCGATTCTACGTGTACAATAAAGTTTATCGAGAATTTATTTGAATACTATAAATATCTTTACTGTGGAAAGTACAAAAAAGCTTTTTTTTTATATTGTGTGCAACAATTTGCATAACTTAACAGACCTTTATGCATTTTAAGTGCCCATTTTAAATTGTGGGAGGAACGCAACCAAACAGTTCACATAGGTGAATGGCTTAAGGGAAAGCTTTATTTCATACCCTTAGATAGGGGAACATAATTTTGAAGCAAAACCTGAAACGCTTAATGTTTGAATAGAGCAAAAAGCCAAATACAATTGTTTATAAACAAAGTTAAGTGTGTATAGAAAAACGAATGTCAAAAATTGCTCTTTTGTATACACTTTTAGTTTTTTGTTAGCTTATAAATTATTTTATTTTATAATTACTCAACTATATCCGATTGCTATTCGCAAATGTGTTCGTATATTCGCTAGAAGAGCGATTTCTGCCTGGGTTTTTTTTTCATATCTTGTGCACCCTATAGGCAGATATTCGGTCTTGTTTTTATAGAGTTCCATATCTAGCTCATGCCATAAATAGATCCATTTATCTAAGTGGAAAGTCAACTTTAAACCGCGCCAAGTAGTTGATATGTGTTAACACCCGGTTCCAGGTAATACAGCTGTACAAATACATGCAGAGCACCTTCACAAACACTCTGATATGACCCATAACACGAGCTAATACCGAGATATTCCGATATACAAACACACTGTGTGAGCGGCCCAACAGAAGCGCATTTCGAGTGCGAATCGCCGTGCAGTGCGCATACGTCATGTTGTCTGGCGACGCGCGCCGCAATTAAACACAGACTCGCAAAAATTAAAATCTAAAGAAGCAAAAAAAGAAACAAAGAAAAAAAACACAGAGAATAAGCAATGAGAAACAAAAGTGCAAAACAAAAAAATAAGTAGCAGAAAACACAAGAGTGTAAACGATATGGCAAATCCGGCAAACAACAACAAGGCCCGGCAAAGCATGACGCAGCCAGCGAAGTCGCACCTGCCCGCCCCCAGCCGCCCCTATGCCAGGTTAAACATGTCAACCCAAGCGCTTGTAGGGCAGCGCAGGGCAAGAAGTGTCCACTTGGCGAGCTGTCCGATTGCCAGCAACGCGTCGCGTCGCGTCGCGACGTCGTCGCCAGTTGTTTCAGTCGTTCCAGTGACGGGTTCAGGTGCGGCAGTTGCGCGCGCCAATCGACCAGCGCTCGTTTATCGGTCAAAGGCGCCTACGTGCCACTGTGGCAACAAGCTCTCCGCGATCTATTCTATTCGCGGCATTTCAACAACAATTGCCGCAGGCATTTATTATTTAATTAATTTCGCCGCATTAGTCACAGATTTGACGCACAACACACAAAATTAGACTTAATTCACTTATGCGTAAGCAAAAAGTTTTTAAAAGCAACAAATTCAAAGTGTATGTGTGTATCGATAAGCGCGCATGTGTTTGCGTGTGTGTGTGTGTGTGAGTGAGAGTGTTTGCTTCTGTTATACAAACACTAACCGTTATAATATATAGCGCAATTACCCGTCCCCCGCATCATGAAGCTTTTGCTAAAAGTACATGGCGAGCGCACAGCGCGCAATCGTCGCACGCCCGAGCGCACCTTCACAGCGTCGCCAGCGCCAAGTATGTTGTGTATAAGTCAGAATTAGAACTGCACACTGCCCGCTTTCCGCTCAGTAATAAATCAATCATCATCATTATCGTCACCCTCCACAGGAATCAACAGTGGTAGCAGCAGCAGCAGCAGCACAAGCAGCGATACGGGCATCGGGGGCAAGCGCAGCCGCGGCAGCTCCAGGTCGAGGCGTCTAACCCGGAACACGCTGCTGCTGAGCGTGCTCGTCCTTTTGGTCCTTATCACCGCCATTGTCATTGTCTATGTGGAGCTGAGCCGCACGCGTGGCGAGCTGCCGCATAAGTCCATTTACTTTGGCAACACCTATGAGGATGGCACGTGTAAGTGGGCAAAAAATGCGACCGCCATAGCCTATTCACATGTTGTGCAGTTCCAAATCTAGGAAATGGTCATCTGGTCATCGAGCGTGTACAGTGGGGCGCCTCGGATCGCAGCAGGCAGCTGACGATACCGCTGCAGCGGCCCATACCCTATGTGCTAATCACGCACATTGGCGTGCAGTCGATACCCTGCGTCAATCTCTACAAATGCTCCATCAAAATGCGCACCATACAGGATTCGGCGATTGCGGAGAAGAACCTACCGGATATACAGTCCAATTTTTACGTAAGCAACCGACATGCACAATTCCCAGCACGTTCCGGCGACTAACACTTTTGGACATTTCGTTTTCCGCTTGCTGCTTACGCAAATTGTGTTGATATTTCGACCAGGTTTCCGATGAGGGCAACATTTATGTGGGTCGCGGCTGGGACTGGGCCAACACGTATGCGAATCAGACACTGGCCATCACTTTTATGGGCGACTATGGCCGCTATCAGCCCACCGCCAAGCAGCTGGAGGGCGTGCAATTCCTTTTGGCCCATGCAGTGGCCAATCACAAATTGGATTTGGACTACAAGCTGGTCGCACAGAATCAGGTGAGCACTTTACAGCCAACCATCCATCCTCCATCTTTTACCCAGACAAACAGCCCAAGAAATTTCAGGAAATATATTGAAGCTAGGCATTTCGTGATTTTATTCAAAGCTTAACATGAGATTTGAGCAGAGAGTAAGATCAAGTCTTTCCTAATTGAAACTTAAGTATTTCATTCTTAAGTTTACTTCCTTAAAATCGTTTTAAAAAATTTATAAGAAATATGTACTCTATGCAGATACAGATTCCCTTTCAATACAGTTCTTTTATTTTAAGAAAATTATATTTAGTAATTATTGCTCTTCTTTATAGACCAAAAGCAGCAAGAGTCCCGGCATCAATGTATACCGTGAGATTAGCAAATGGCCGCACTTTTATGGCTGCAGCATGGAGCAGGCGCCCAAGTGTGGCAGCGAGCTGGGCATGACGGCTGCCTCCTGGAACGGTGGGCAATAACTACAGACTTTAAGAGAACTCTTAGCTTTAAAACCAATACACACAACACACACTCGCACACTCGCACACACACACATTACTGCATCTTTATACAAGTAAACCAAATAAAAAAAAAACGTAAGTTTTCGCTTCATATTAAATATTCAGTTATATTTGTACGGCCTTAAACCGGTTCGAAGGTGTGTGCCTTACAGGTGTTTTATTTATAGAGCACGTCTCCTCAATCTCTGCTCAGACAAAGCTCTCTCTCCCTCTCTCCATCTCTCTCTCTCTCTGTCAGTCTCTCTCTTAAATCTCAAAAGCTGTTTTGTTCATATTGCGCTGCGCTCGAAAGCTGGAAATTCCCAAGCGGGAAACAAAAACCTATCAGCATATAGAGACGGGTTGTATGTAAGTCTATATAGGTATACATGTGCATGCGGTTAGTACAACATCATTATCGACAGAACTTGTAGTCAGTTTTTTATACATACACACACACACACACACACACACACTTGCACTTTATTGATGCTGTTTCATTTGTTGTTATTGTTTTTTGTTGTGTTTGTGAGTTAATTAAAAGCTGTATATCATTTGGAACCATTAAATTTCCACTGATAACTAGAAAGCACAGCAAAAAAACAAAAACAAATAGCAACACATTATTTCTGGGTAAAACTCAAACTGATTAACGGAAGCCTGGAAGTTTTTACTGAGTCAGATTGAAAAGCTTTTTTAAGTGATCCGCTTACCTGGCTAACTAATGACCTATGTTAACAAATGCTCAACCACTTATCAGAGTTTCCCCTACTTCAAAAGCAATGCAATGCTACAAAGATTAAATCCCAATCTGAATAGGAATCAATTGATAGTTGACTTTCGGGTACAAGTGAGCCTTAGCCAAGTCAACCTTAATCAATTTCCTAGCTCAGATTTTGTTTAATATTTTATAGATCATCAATGCTAATTGATAAAGGTCACTTTCTTTCGCACAAATTTTAGCTGTCTAGTCGAATATGCTAAAAAATTGCTCACCAAAAACAAACAAAACAATTCGTAGAATTCTTTAGCCCACACTCCGCATAGCATCTGTCGTTGTGCATTTTTGCCGTGTGTTTGTGATTTTTTGTTGTTTATAAGTTGTGCAAACAGCGGAGAAAAAAAATCCTCTAAATATAATCACAACAGTAGAGACTTAAGCGGGCTGGAGAAAGAGCAAAAACTAGCTGCAAAAAATGATTAAAATTTGAGAAATAACTTTAAAAATTCAAAAAACCCGAAATCAAAAGCAAAGCAACTCCCGCTAAATAACTAAGATGAAGAACAGGTTCGCACAGGAAACTCAGATCTATAATGAACAGAACCCAACTCATCTGGCTCTCCATATATTTGGGGTTTTCCTTTTGGCCAATAACCTGTTTGAATGTGGAACAGATGCCAACCAAATGGAAAATCAACTAGACATAACATGTTATTGGGCATTAAATGCTAATTAAACTCGCCAAGCAGGTATATAACTATGCATTAAAAAACGGTCCAAAAAAAAAAGAATGGCTCAGCGCTAACTCAGAAAATATTTTGGAAAATCCAGCAGCAGTTGGCCACAGGAAAATAATCGAATACGCATTTGTATATTCAGCTATGGGCGTTTCGAACAAAATTCCAAAGTCTTGCGGCCTCTCTCGACCGGGCGCTCTGTTGCCTGCACGCTATCTCACTCTCTCCCGCTCGCTCTTACTCTGTTTTGCTCTCTGATTGACAGCAGCCGCCAACGCTCTAGGGTCTTCGGCTCAGCGACTCGCATCGCGATTTGATCGCCGCTCAGTTGATCGGAGCCTCTCGAACGCGTCGCTGCTCGGTGAATTTAATGTGGCATGCGCTTACCTTAAAAAATATATAAACCATATACATATATAGTATTTATACGTATAGTATACAACCTTTGTTTAAAAACATCAACCAAAATATTACGTCGCTAACGTTTTGTAATAGTTGTTGATTAGTTGGTCTGAATTTGACTCTTGTGCACATTTATACGCCGTTGTTCCGTCGGAAATCGGCGCACGGATGCCTTAAATTGACGGTAATCAAGCGTATAAAATGAAGTTAGTAGCGCAAGCACAATAAATTAAGCGCATTATATTTTACGGAAGCAGCGAAACATGTTTTAGAGAGTGTGGAGAAAAAAATTATGAATTGAAAATAATTATTACAAAAAAAATGACAAAAGAATAAGTTGAAAAATTTGAAAGAAAAAGTGCATAAAAACAAACAAAGCTCAAAGCTGAAATAAACTAGTGTTGGAAAGTGTTAAAACAAGAAAAGGATTAAATGTATGAATATTTAAAAATTATAAAATAAATAATGACCCATAACTGAAGCAGTGTGCATAAACATAATCAAGACAAAAGAGGGGCAAATAATCCAAGTCATATAGAAAATAAAAAAAAAAAAAATAAAAGAAATAAAAAACACGATTCATTTGCGCCAAGCAATTCCCATTCAATGATAATTGTTAACACACATGAAACAGTCAAGCAAAACTTGGTAATTGCCGTGTTGTTGTTGTTGATTTTTTTTTTCGTTGTTGTCTAACACAGACACCCAGAGAACAGTTGCTGCATGTGTATAAGTGACAATGGCCGCCGCTTAAATGCCGGTTTGCCTGTATTGGTGCGCTCAGAGACGCAACGCGATGTCTCCGTGTGCTCGTTATTCTTGTTGTTGTTGTAGTTGTGTAGTTGTTATCTGGAAAGTGCGCTCAGTGCGAATATTACGGGAGCGACTACGACTGCCTTATCGCACTCTGCCCGAATGCCCAGCTGAGCCCTCATTTTATTGCTTCATTCTGGGAATGCTTCGATTCCGCAATGAAAGAATTTGATTGTTGGCCCACTTCCACCTGGAGGGTGAGGATCAGACCAAATGCTCCAAATCAATCAATAACTTGCTGACCTTGATTTACAATGGTCTCACAATTCTAAGATATCAACTCGTACTTGTTCAATCAATTTGAGCTTTGCTCTTCGCAACAAACTATAGCCAAAGCTATTTAAGTGGGCATCTGAGTTCTCGGAATGCATTTTACAAGCTCAAAGCGTAAATGATTCTAATTAGCATAAGTCATGCGCAATAACAGCGCCTACCGTCTGGGCTGATCGCTAAGTCACAACCAGCAGACTGCAAATATACCCTTTTATTCATGTGACGCATGACTTTGCAAAAGTCAAAGCTATATATTAGAACACATTTTTAATTATATAAATTAAAGCATTTTTTATACTGAATTAAAGGTGCACTCAATTTAACTAATTACAGTTTTGAACTTGAAGATTAGGATAAACGTTAGGAATTGTCTTTGAGAATTATCTTGGGACTTATAACAATATGTGAATCAGCTCCTAAACAAGAAATATAAAATGCACCATTCATAATAAGTTAGAGTTTTAATTGCTCATAACCTGAAGCCGGTTTCTTGAGCATTCTATTTGAATTGTAAACATTTGCTGCTTACCAGACAATATAAATCAAACAAGCCTGTCAGTTTATTAATTTTATAAGCACAAATTACGCACGGAGACTGAATTACATCTGCATATCATTTACATACATATTCATATATTATATATAGACATTTATATATATACATATTTATATATTCTCACCTGACCTCATTTGCTTATCAATAATACAAACAAATTAAAGCCAACCTTAAAACTTTTACAGGCTGTAACAATATAGGAAGTGAAAATAAAACAATAATTAAAGCAAAAGTCAATTAATAAATGAAATTTGACTGATCATAAAAAAGACAGAAATAAAATTGATAAAGTTGGTAAAATTTTAAAATAATTAAAAAATGCATTAAACCTAGCACAACTCTGCAAAGACAACATGAAAAGATAAAAAAAATAAAGCACTGACTGTTGAATTTTATCATTTGGCGCAGTCATTATCAACATTTCAAGTGAAAAAGTATATTTACTTTCAGATGCTCATGATGTGATGTTTGCCTAGAGAGCAGGCCGGGCCACCAAAAACATCAAAACCTTGCGAACAAGTTATTCAGTCAAAATGTTTCGACAGCGATGCAACAGCTACTGAAAGTAGCACCCAGCGATCCTAACGAGGAAACGTTACAAAACGAAAGCAATCACAAATAACAGAAACCAGACAATGCGAAAAATGCATTGCGACAATGGAACGGAGTTAGGCACGAGCGCAAATTTAAATACACACATCATAAATCGAAGCAGCGGCAAGAATTGCAGCACATCCTCAACAGATTCGGGCGTCGGTTTGGTTGATAATGCAGTTACATTCAAGGCGGGGCCAACGACCAAAGATAACAATAGCACGACAAGCAGAAAATGTGAGGAAACAAAGGAGAAGTCCGAGCCGCAGGCGGAGGCGGAAGCGAATCCACATCGTATCAGCATTGAGGTTGAGGCAACAGTAAGCCTCAACAAGGCAGCAGCCAATCGGCCGAAGAAATCATCACCCGCAGTCTCAATACGCAGCACGACGATCTCCATCGTATCTATCGATGAAAATGCCATCGATTCCAGCTGCATTGACAGCGACTCCGAGGCGGAAGCAGACGAGAGCTGCACGGTCCAAAAACTGGGCCAACAGATCACCTACCCGCCACACAGTGCCGAGCTGACGCAGCTCAACAAAGGACTAACGGTGATTAGTCGACAGGTGGTGCCCAGCACTGGTGAGGGCCCATCGCCGCCCACAGCACCCGATGTCGTGGCCAAGCAGCTGCTCAATGGCAACCTAAGTCTGGCAACGCCAACAACCCCAGCCTCGCCGCAGCAAATCGGCAGCATTGCGTTAACCAACACTACAGACGTTACTTTTGGTGATAAACACTACTACGAGGGACCTGTCACGATACAACAGATCCTGATTGATAATCGAGAAAAGTTCAAAACGCTCGATGGAGAATCGGGTCAGGATAATCCCGGTTTTAATCCACAGTCAACGTCAAATGGCAACACTGCAGGTGAGTTTAGTTGAGAGAGTATTTCTAGTGAGAGAAATAGAATTTTATATATATTTTTTACTTTGTTGTCGGTCTGTCTGGTTTTATTTATACTTCGTTTTCACCTTGGTTCACTTATTTGTTTTGTTTGGCGGTCTGCGGCTAATGCTCAACGCGTGCAAATAATATTTTTTTTGTTTACTGAGAGCGTTAACAATATCGCCATAGGGCAGACATTTTGAAAAATGTATTGGCAGCAGAGAATTCGGGTATACACACTTTCAGAAAAATGTGTTAAATGCTAGTGAACGGAAAATTAACATTTTTTTATAATGTATTTAATAGCTGTGCTAAAGAGGTTCACACTCGATCATAAATGAATATAAAAATTGATTTTTTAGGAAATTTTTCAATACGAATACGATGTAGAAAAATAATATATTTTGATACTCAAATGGTTAAATTTGTATGTACATATATAGTTTTTATAAAGAAAGTCAAGGTCGTTGCAGTAATTATTGTGATTGCGCATACGCATCGTGTGCTGAAGATATTGCGCATACGACCGGTTGCCGTAAATCAGTCAAACGAACGGCATACACAGCCCACTCATGAACAAACAAAAACAATGGCACCTGGCAATTGTTTACTCGAATGCTTCTCACAATTCCCATAATTAAAGATCGAACCAAAGCAACAACTGCAAATAAAATTGAATATGAATTCCAGCTAATTAATTGGCGCAGTCTTGCAAACCGCACAGTTCAACTAGTTAATGCCACTAAGCTAGTCGGTGTTTCCCCTAAGCTAGGGTATAGAACTCGGATCAAAGTCACGTGCCCTGCCCAGCAGGGGGACTTTTTTTTTAATATTATACAATGTTCATTAATTACTTTCTCCAACACGAAAAACAAGTGCAAATTCTAGCACGCACTTGTTGTATTTACCATATACTATATAGAGCAATAACAAAAAAAAAAAGAACCGAGCAATAAGGAATGTCATTTTTATTTTGCTGCGACTTTTGCAGTAGCTGATGTTCCGTGGTCGCAGAAATGTCGAGCAACGCGTTGAATTACTGTCTTAAGTGTTGCGGGCTTGTCAAGCGTGATCTGATCGCATGCGATGCTGCATGTGGGCGTGTCTGTCACGCCCATTGCAGTGGCTTAAGCCAGCAGCAGCTGCTAATTATTCAAATTTTGCCCAATATCGTCTGGCGCTGCGATAGCTGCCTTAAACAGGCCCAAAACAATCAGCAGCTAAGTGAAAAGCTGGAACAATGTCTCAAGCAGCATGAGAAACGTTTGCAAATATTAGAACAGAGCTTAGCGAGGCGTGAGTGTCCGATATATTAATACATAAGTCATATTATTTACCAAGCCCATGCAACAAGTTGCAAGTGTAAAAAGCTTATATTTTTTATATATTTTTCAGGTGCCAAATTAAATGAGTCCTGCAAGGAGCCTGTGCTGTGCCCGTTTCTGCCACATACAATCGGACGCAAGGCCGTTATTATAACGTCAGCCTTTGCGATTTTAACCTTAGTGTTGATCGTCATACTGGCAACCACCACAAATCTCTTTGGCAAGACGTTAAATAAAAGTAAGCTTGGTGATGGCGACGATTCGAGACAAAATATTCCAATCAATTCAACAATAGGTACAGTTTTGTCGCTTTTCTATGTGTTCGAAAACGCTTTCAATTTAAAATTTGGTGCTTGCAATTGGCAGACTTCCCCTCACATTTTTCTCTTCTATTCTCTACTACTCTATTATTTTATTATTTTCTATTTCTGTTTAACAAGCGCAAATGCGTACAATATCATGTTGAAGCTATATAACAAATTACAAAAAAAAACGCGTCTTATATTTAAACGTATCTTCAAATTATCGGTGAATACGGGGAACTGTACTGAGCTTAACAGTGTTGAAAAGTGCTTCGAACTTAAAGTGTGACCTTAGTTTGATTGAATGGAATATGAATAAATAGTTCTTTGTGTTTGAAATAATAATTGATAATCGTGCCGCAGCTACTCTGGAGGTGCTCAGTGTTAAAGAATGGGGTGGACGGCAGCCGAGAAAAGCGCTCACGAACCTTACTTTGCCCGTACATCGTGTCATCATATCGCATACCGCCGCCGAGGGTTGTGAGTCACGGGTAAGCTTAACTGCTCCTCCCCAAGCCACAGGCCGATTCAATTTCAACAATATTCCGTTCGTTTTAAGGACGTGTGTGAGGCTCGCGTGCGTGTTGTACAAAACTTCCACATGGACGGATGGAATTGGGATCATATTGGCTACAATTTTCTCGTTGGGGGCGATGGAACGGTCTACGAGGGCCGTGGCTGGGATTCTCAGGGGGCACACACGCTGGGCTATAATAACGACAGCATTGGCATCTCCTTTATTGGCACCTTCATCAAGATTCACCCGACGGAAGAACAGCTTCAGGCATGCCAGCTGTTACTTGAGGAGGGTGTGCGCCTGAAGAAGCTGGTGCCCGATTACAAGCTCTACGGGCATCGGCAACTGAGCGCCACCGAGAGTCCCGGTGAAATTCTATATAGTATCATACAGACTTGGCCGCATTGGACAAAAAAAATACCCACTTAGTTGATATTTAGAATAATGTGATGAAAATAATAATATGTATGTTAAGTAATTGAATAAAGTTGGTAGCTCATTTAATTAAGTTGTTTGTTTAGAAGATCAGTTTGTTTTCATGTTTTAATTTCTCTCATAAGCACTTTCACTACACTAAAACTCATGTCACATAAATTTATATCGCGTCTTTCATAACTGTGCCGTTAAAAAAGTGTTGTGCAGTGTTGAAAAATCAATTGGCCATAGCCATGTTGAGTTGAATGGAATATGAAAATATATAGATATACTCGTAAATATCAATATATACTTATGATGCACGTATGTACTTATATATATATATACCTACTCTATGCACGCTTCTATATACTATATACTCACATGTGTGTGTCTGTATATGTGTTGTACAATCACATTCCCTGCCAACTGACCCACTAACCAAGGCCTCTTTGTGCAGCTATCGATGGCAGCGAACTAGTGTTGGTCAGCATTGATGAGTGGGATGGCAGAATGTCGCGTCCGACTCTCGAGGCCCTAAAACTGCCCGTGGATCGTGTTATTATAGCACACACCGTAACTGAGGGCTGTGATACCCTGGTGAGTGCATCTCAATGTGGATTCGGTAAAGGAAACCATTTTTAACCAGACATTTATGCCAGGATGTGTGCTCTTATCGCGTACGAGTCATGCAAGCGTATCACATGGACATATTGGACTGGGAGCAGGTCGGCTACAATTTCATGGTGGGCGGCGATGGACGCGTCTATGCGGGTCGCGGCTGGGATTACATTGGAGCGCACACCATCAAATATAACAGGGACAGCATTGGCATAGCCTTCATTGGAAGCTTCGATAAGATAAATCCAACGGAGCTGCAGCTGCGGGCCTGCCAGTTGCTCCTTGCGGAGGGTGTGCGCCTTAAGAAACTAACGCCGGATTATAAGATCTATGGCCATAGGCAGCTGCTGGCCACCCAAAGTCCTGGCGACAAGCTTTACAATATTATAAAGACCTGGTCACACTTTGCAAAGCAACGTTAGATTTCCTGTGTTAATGTTAACAAAGTATATTATTGTGTTATTATATTTTAATAAACAAAATAAAAACTCAAGTAAAAGGCGGTTTGTTTTTCCACGCCTTCTAAACTGCTTTACCCACTTAAACCTTCTATATACTCTACATATATTTGTCTATATGATTAATCATTTTATCTTGCACTTATTTTACAGATCAGGACAATATTGGTGGTGGCTTGGTATTGAGATTTGTGCCGCGCGCTGCTTGGCTGGCCCAGCCACCGCAGAAGCAACTACCCGACCTGGCTCTGCCTGTGCCCATGGTCATATTATTGCCCACAAACTCGGAGAACTGCAGCACCCAGGCGCAGTGTGTTTTCCGCGTACGCTTCCTGCAGACCTTTGACATTGAGTCGCAGCAGAGGGATGACATAAGCTTCAATTTTCTCATTGGCGGCGATGGCAATGTGTATGTGGGCCGTGGCTGGGATGTGGTCGGCGCCCACATGCACGGCTACAATACGCGCAGCCTGAGTCTCGCCTATATTGGATCCTTTCGGCATCAGCGACCCTCATCGAAGCAGCTTAGCGTCACCCATTTGCTGCTCGAGCGCGGCGTCGAGCTGGGCAAAATTTCGTCAAACTATAAACTGGTCGGTGCCAGCACTTTGGAGCCAACAATTACGGAATACAACGCTGAGCTGTTGTACCAAAGCTTCGCCAATTGGACACACTGGACAACGGCAGCCTAAGCAATGCAAAAATAATTGAAGTCATGACTGGTTTTTTTTCTCGATTTGATTATGTGGCATATTTCCCTAAGCTAGTAGACGTAAGCTTTCAATACAACATTGTGATATTATAAAAAAAAAAACAAAAAACAAAAAAAAAATAATTATGGAATTATTAATAATGAACTATACTCTCTTATTTTTAACTCACCCTAATCGTCCGCTTTGTTCGCTTATATGACGGACGGGTCCGAAATACGTGACTTAGTTCGAAATATTGTTTAGCGCTTGGTTTATAGATCACAGACACAAATGCGCTACAGAATATTATATGTTAGGCTCCACCTACCAGAGAGACGTGAGAGTAAAAAACACATAGCAATACATACAAAACTATATGCGTGTCACTGAGTATAAGCTCTAAGAATACCCTAAGTATAGCTAGTAAGACAAGAGGCTTAAAAGTTTATATTTAGAATGCTTCAAACAATGTTTTCTTACGCTCTACCATGAACTCTTGCCCGCTGCCCATATTTGGTAACACTCTTTCGTATATATCAGTCACTATAAACACCCTTCTTGGTGCAAAAGTACAGGGTATAAGCGTGAACTTTCAAAACGAAACCCACAATTAAACACGCGCCTTGACAAAAGCTCGCTGGCACGCAGCTGCTGCTGTTGCTGCGCACTTCCATGCGGGGATTTTTCTGCAGACAGCTCGTTATTTGCGGTTGATCATCAACTTGCTTTGCTCGGATTCAGTTCACAACGGGCAACCGGCTTGACAAGACAACAACGCTGCGATCTCTGGAAATTTTTGGGCGATTGTCGAAATGAAGATCCAACAAACTGCGCCGGGCATCGAAGATCAAGCGCCGACTACAAATGTGAAACAGCTGCGGGGTCTGATATGGATGTGCGCCATTCTCTTGATATTGGTTGCCACCGCTGCCGCCTACTTTGTGTGGCTGATGAGTAAGTATTTCTATCTATCCAACAATATTCCAAGCTTATACGATTCCCACATGTGTGCACTCCGCAGGCCAAAACAACGTACTGGCTAACAATTCTTTACGTATACTCGATCGCAGCGAGTGGCTCGGGGAACCACCGAGCGGATTCAAGCTGCTAAGAACCCCCGTATCCAATGTAATAATACATCACACCGCTACCGAGGGATGCGATACAGAGGTATGTACCTTCGAAATTTTAAGAAAAAATCACATATTTCATGTGCGGGTTAATAACTTTTTTATTATATATATTAATAACTTTTTTAAAATTAGCATATATTATACAAACTGTTTACTTGAATTGCGACTTAAATTTATTTATTAAATTCCTTACAGGACGTGTGCATCTATCGTATGCGCATGATACAGTCCTTCCATATGGGCTCCCTTGGCTTTACGGATATTGCATATAACTTTCTGATCGGTGGCGATGGCATAGTCTACGTGGGCCGCGGTTGGCACGCACAGGGCCAGCACATTAATGGATATGGCCCCGTGTCACTTAGCATTGCTTTTATTGGAACCTTTGGTAATGAGGCGCCACCGGATCACCAGGTGCGTGCTGCCAAACGACTGATGGATGAGGGCGTTCGATTGCATAAGCTGCACCCGGATTATCACATCTATGCACACAGGCAATTGAGGCCTACTGAGAGTCCCGGACAGAAACTGTTTGAGCTTATGCAGCACTGGCCACGCTGGACCGAAGACGTGACCGCGCGTAAGCTCCATCTATTACTTGTCAAAGCCATAAAGCCAACGATTTGTTTCAGTACGCAGACTCAACAACGCGCCGCTTAGGTTTGTTGCACGTGCTGCTTGGCTAGCTCAGCCAGCTTTGGAAGCGCTGCCCCCCTTGGCGCTGCCTGCCAAAAACGTGCGCTTTGTGACCACCTCAACAGAGTCCTGCGATACGCAGGCATCGTGCACCTTTAGAATGCGCTACCTGCAATCCCTGCACATTGAGAGTCTGGACAAACAGGACATCAACTACAACTTTGTGGTGGGCGGCGATGGCAGCGTTTATGTGGCCCGGGGCTGGGACGCCAGCTGTGAGGCGGACTCCACAGATGAGCCGCCATTCAATGGACTCACTGTGGGCTTTCTGGGCATGTCCAAGCCCAGTGCAAGTCAAACGAAAGTCGCTCAAGAGCTGCTGGCTCAGGGCATCAAGTTGGGCAAACTGGCGGAGGATTTTCAACTGATAGATGAACTGAAATAGAGAAAAAACTGTACAAACACTCTCTCATTTGCCAGTGCCATAAGGCTGGGTATTCTGTCCGTGTAGTCAACCAAATATTATTTTAAATTAATTTATAAAGATTTCACGTTTGCTGCGCATATCTCGATAAATTAAAACCCTTCTTTAGATATAAATATGCCTTTATTAAGTTTTTTAACAGCTTTGCGATATTTAAATTAATTTTGAAAGCACATCGCTAATTATGTAAAATTCTTGTTCTTCCAACTTAACTATGTACAATTCAGAAACACTCTCTATATATGTATAATGCGGCTTCACTAGATGTCACTTTGTGCTTACAACAATTGGCTAAACGAAACTCGTAATTTGGAACTTTGAACATGGCTACTACATAAACTTAGTTAATTATGCTACAGAGATAACGACAGATTCTGGCATATCACATATGATTTATCGATCCATTAATGATCCAAGATGCGCATATTGCCAGACACGATTTTGTTCTCCAGTATGGCGCCAGCGGGTATATCAATACGATCACCATGATTGGCAATAATAATCACAGTGCCCTGCAGAGCAAATAGAGAAATGGAGTAGGAAGGAGTTGATGCTTGAAGCTGAATATCTGATAACTTACGCGCAAGGAGACGCCGCGACCAAAGGTCACATCGCCGCTGACCGTCAAATGATCCAGTTCAATAATATCGGGTATATTGGCAAAACGGCCCAAGAACTCCTTGACCTTAGAGAAATGATTCTCGCCCAGTTTTACAAGCGGCGTGGTGGGGAACATGCGCTGCGGCGACATCACCAGGCTGCCATTCTTGAGAGTATACAAATTCGACATGACGAGCAGCAGATCTGATGATTTCTTTACGGGCAAGAAACGCGAACGGGGCACATTGATGCCGATGGCGCCATCGAAACACTTCATGGCCGCACCCACCGCCGTCTCCAGCTGAATGACGCGCAGTCCATTCTCCAGTGTCTTGTTGTTTACAATAATCTCCATGTTGAGCGTGCGCTCCCGCAGCACTCGATCAATAGCTAAAGAAAAGAAGCAGCATTTTAGGTACTATTTTCGGTAGACAGCTTAAAAGTAGGCTAGTGTACACTCTTACCCGCCAGATTGGCCCAAATGTTGTTGGTATTGAAAAACTTGAAGGTCTTGACAGACTTGAAGTCATCCACATGCTCGGGGGGCACCTGGGCGATTTCCAGCAGACGCAACTTGTTCTCCATTTGTATGAGCGTGCCACCCTACAAAAGAGAGAATATGTATTCACCCACACAAGAGTTTTGCTGCACTGGAGCTACCTTGACATCAGCACGGGTCTTGTCGGTGACCTCCATGACGAATTCGAAGGGCGTGCTGGCGCGCTCCTCGCCCACCAGCTTGTTGAGTATGTTCAGATCGACGGTGGCGCCTAGATTGTCAATGTTGGAGAGGAAACAGTATTCCCGGCCCTCGCCAATGAACTTCTTCAGCAGGCCCGAGTTGCGGAAGGTATCGTAGAAGTCACCGTGGCCAGGTGGATACCAGCTAAAAGTGAAAGGCATTATAGGGCATAAGATTTGGTCAATAATATACTCACGCCTCCATGTCCTTTTCCACATCGAAATCCTTGGCAACAGGCAGGAAATGCTCGCGACTGATGCGTGGAAAGCAGCTCTGGTTGAAGGTGTGTATCTGCACGCGGAAACCCTTGTACTTGCGCACAATCTTCTCCGTATCCTCGTCCGTATTGAAGGAGTTCATCAGCACCAGCGGCACATTGGCATCGTATGTCTTATTTAGATGCTCGATTTGCTGCACCGTCAGATCCAAGAATGTCAAATCGGAGCGAACAGGTATGACACTCTTGGGTCCATGGCAACCCATGGAGGTGCCCAGTCCACCATTCAGTTTAATGACCACCAGTTTGTCCAACATATTGCGTATCTGCATTATGCATTAGTTACAAATTAATTAATAGATGCTCTTTAATATATATCTGTTGGGTTAGCACAAAAGGATTTGTTAAGCTGCATTTGGAATTTAGTACAGCGCTAGTGCTAAAGAACCAATGCAACGACTAGTTAAGCAAACAACTAAATAAGCGTTCCAAAAGCCCATATAGATTAAGTATTGAGCAGAGAGCAAGAACAAGTGAGTTCAACACGTAAGCGCCAGAGAGAAGCGTAGAAGTTGAGTAGAGAAAACGCTTTTACCTCATTCTATTCATGATATGTATATATAGGCAGACATTAGCCATAGGACAGCCATTGCAACAATAACAACGGCAACAATGAGTACAATTCAGTGTTCAAATCAAAGTACACGAAATATGAAAAGATTAAAAAAATATATATATAAAATATGTCTATGTACATAAGAAAGTTATCATTAGGTTAAGTTGGATTGTTGAGGTAGGCGCTCGTTTTTTATAATTTGTGTGTGTGTGTGTTTTTTTTTTTTTTGGAGAAAGATACCAGGGCCAGCAAACCTTGAAAGGTCACTCGAGCTTAGAAATTATAAAATACCTGCTCGTTTTTGGGCGACTTGAGATTGGAGTAGTTCATGACCGCATTTTCGGGCAGCTTTTGGATTTTGTTCCAATCCAGCGCTGGTCCCTCTGCAATGATATCCCTAGGTGAGTTATAAGCCAAAGATTATAAGTTAAAAACTTACCCTCTTGCAGGAAGCGACCGAATAAATCCGCAAATCGACCCATTTCAGCTTGGAGTGCTGGGCGACGAGCCGGTTCCGTGGTCTGCAGCAGACGATCCACGTCGTTTTCCAGCAGACGCAGTGCATCGCGCTTGGTTACCTCATGGAACTCCTTCGAATCGGATGGGACGCGCTGATGGCCGCGCATCTGCAAACAACAAAAACAACAACAATTTAAATACACTGTAAGAAATTGCGGCAAGTAAACGATTAAACTGCCTACCAAAGCGCAACAAGCTAAAAGCGCTCAAGTGACAAAAGTTGCAACAACAACGAATACAAGACGAAAGATTGCTAGACCGAAAGATAGCCTACACCTAGCTCTGAATTGTCGTATTTACTTATTCGCTACGCAAAAAACAACAGTGTCATTATGAAAATCGCATAGAAAGGAGGCTTTTCGGAGTAAAAAAGACGCATGAGAGAGTTAGAGAAAGAAATAGCAGAAATTACAGCGGGATAGAGGAAGAGGAATAAGGAGTAAAGAGACAAAAAGGAAAGTGGGGGAGTGGAATGAGAATGAGATAGAGAAAGACAGCACGAGACGGCGGCAGTGTGATCGAGACAGAGTGAGTATAAGCTTGTAATGAATAAGAGTCGAATGCTAGTGAAAATATGAAATTCGCATAGAAAGGCATTAGCAAGACTTTGACATACCCTTTCCAAAAATTGTTAATGGGTATTGGATATAATAAGACAAATTGTTGTTGCTCGCGTAATGCGTGCCTGGGGCAATTACAAGCTTCGCCTGGCAGCCAGACGAGCGCATCTTCGGCGCTTTTGGCGACAGTTTTCCTAAGACAGTTATGGCAAGACGTTGGCAGCTATTTGTGGGTCTGGTGCTGCTCAGCCTGAGCCAGCAGGCGACAGCTGGTGTTATGGACAATGTGAACGATGGCCTAAAGATGGCAGGAGAAATGTTTGGCATTAACACAGCAGCTGATGTGGCCAACCTGGTGGCCAAGGCCTTTTCCAGAGTGACAACGCGCAGGAAACCCGATCTAATGAGCGTGCTGCAGCAGGGCTTCGAAACACAGCGGAACCAGCAGCCGGAAGAGGAGGAAAATGATCAAGAGGAGCAGGAGAATGCACAGGAGTCGCCGCCCGTCGAAGGAGACACACGACGCCGACCCTTGCAGTTCAGCAGCGTCCAAATGCTGACCAACATGATGCGCATGATAGGCTTCGATCCCCGCAAGCTGGGCGCACTGGCTCTCAATGCAATTGTGATGATTGCACAGGCGGTACGTCTGCTAAAAACACAATTCCCAATTCCCCTCACTAATAAACATTTCTCTCTCACAGATTGGCAGCACAATTATGCAGGCGACACGTGGCGGCGGTGAAAGCAACGCTGACACTGGACCCGAGGCGCTCTTCGAGCCCAGCGAACATCAGCCGCGTGATTTGACACCCGGAAGCCCTATAGATTGGTTCCTGAAGCGTCCCGGCGCACATACACAACGCATGGTGCGCCGCATCATGGATCGCCAGCTGCCCGAGTACATTGTGGACATGATTGAGTCCAAGGAGACACCCGATGGCAATGAAGCCGCCTGCCTGAAGCTGCTCATGTGCAAGAGTTCGCCCATCATTTGGGGCATGCAGAACTCGCTGAAGAAGCGCTTGGCCGGCGAGCCCGAGGAGTTCGACGAGGAGAGTTACATGAATGCAAATGCGTTCTTCAAATATTTGCCCAGTTTGGATGAGTTTAAGGAGTACGGCGCGGGCTGTGAGTCCCGCTTTGCCAAGTACTGTCCACGCAATTCAACATTGGGCAAACCCTAAAGAGCACCCAAGAATATTAACCAACAACCCAAAGACGCAATTTTTTTTTTCTATATTTAGTTTTAGGTTCTATATAGTTTCATCAATAAATCAATAAATTGTTTTGTAATTAGCCTGACATTCGCAGCAAGCGATAAGCCGGACCTAATGTTCCATGAAACGACCTCTAAACTACTTGAATATAATCCATATGATTATATGATCTGTTTACTCTCCATGTAACACCCAACTATGCCTGGCTGGCACTTTGTCAATCCCCCGACTTTGTTTTGGATTATACGCTATCATCATGATAAGCAGCCTCTAGCAATCGCTCGGCTTGTGCTCATGCTGACTATCTAGATCATCGACGCCATGACGCAGAGCCATTCCAATATTGAAAGAACGCTGCCCAATGATGAAATCGATATTAAAGGTATGCTATAAATACTTTACATAAATACTTTACATTCGCGAGATGACAGCTAACAGCTAAAGACACTCTTCAATGTATATACAAAAGACAATTTCGCAATAAGAAAACATACATCATTTTCAGATTTTTCCGAAAAAGGGCTCTTTAATTGCTTATTAAACCTACCAACTAGCTTTACAGTTGATATATTTCTAAGCCCCATTAAATACCCCGTTTGTCAGGCCTTCAAAAACACACAGGCTAAATTCTATTGTAATTTCACAATCAAGCCAACATTGAGAATCATTAGATAAACTAAACTATTATTAGTCAGGCAAATGAAAGAGTTCGAAGCGTTTAACAATAGCATTTGCTTATCAAAGCTGGTTATCAATAAGGTTTATGGCCATATATATTAATGATTCGTTAAATATGCAATGACAAAAACTTTAATTTTGTTGTGTAATTATTTGCCAACTGTGCATTGACATTCAGCAAGGTTGCAAAGCCCTCAACAGATGACGGAGTCGATGCTGGCTAACTGACTGTTCGTCAACTGGCCAAAACGCAAATCAATCAGGCTCAAATATATCTAAATATTTGCAGCAAATGTTTTCTCATGCTTGGGTCAACTTTAGTTATTCCAATGACACTGCCCGTTGGCGCCACCTATCGTACGGAATCGCGTGCACGCATCAATTAAAATTGACAATTTATGGAAAGATGTATATATATATATTCATATATACAAACGTATAATTGCCATAATCGTTTTTCCAACTGATAGCTCGCAAAAACCAATAAAGTTCGCAATTATTAAATGAAAAAGCATCAGACACGCCTTTTGAGACGATTATATGTTGGTTTATTTATAAACAACGCCTAGCCGAGTGATAAGGCAAGTGTCAGAGGGCAGGTGTTTGAACTTCAGGAAGGTCAACTGTTCAGATAAGTAATATGTCGACGATTTCTAGCTGCTACTCTTGCACATGTTTATATAAATAAACATGCATACATAATACACATATAAATATATATATATATATTTAGAAGGCTTGCAAAGAAATGTGTTTGGCATATTTATTAACTTGGAGTAGCTGCCTATATACCCCACACTTGTGAGCTACAGCATATTAGATAATGAAAACAACTCGTAGCCACACTCCCTTTTATTTGTTTTAATTGTCTGGCAAGTTGGGGTTTTAATTGGGAAGATAATAAACAGATAATCACGCCAAATGGGAAAGGTGACAAACCTTTGCCGAAATATTTATATTTTAACAATTGTAATGACTTGGTATCTGTCTGGCGCGTGTGATCTAAACTCTTTGAACTTGGCTTTTTAGGTCTGCAAGCATTATCAAATAACCTTTAACAATTAAAGTAATTTCAAGGTTTCTTGCCAAACAACTGATGCAAAATTGTCGTTTAGATAAGATTGTTACCAAGAAACAGGACTGTACTGTCGTTGCTAGTCGGAGGAAATTGCCAGCTGTACCTTATTTGTAAATATAAAATTCTTGGAAAATGGAAATAAAAAAAAAAACAATGAGGCAAGAAATCATGTTAAGGTTTTAAACTAAAGGGCGCAGAGTTGTGAAGCTACACCGCTGATAATGATAACACGCTACATAGATAAAAACTTCCCCTTGAAGAGGTAACTAATGCCATGTAATGCGCTTAAATAACTTAATAAGAATTTTCTTCATTGTGTATTAGAACTCTCGACTGCACTTGGCCCAAATATCGCATAACGAGGGCTCTCCCGAAGCTTTGAAAACTTACACCGGCGCGTTCCAGCAGCACATCAATGGCTCGTATGCTTGACGTCATGGTTAAAACGTAAGCAACTATATTTAATTAACTCTGTTTTGTTTTTAGTCACTTAAAACAAATGTGTTTCGTTTTGTTTGATTTGTGTTTTTAACTACTTGTTTCGACTTTTTTTTTCTTTTTTAATTTAGCAACACAAAAGCGCGCTTGAACGGGCGAAGACTATATTCCGACGCTGCCGACAGCTCTGTTGACGAACTTTGCGCGACGACTGTGCAATTGGAAATACGGCTAGAATTCAATATGAATTTGAATTTCAATACAATTTTTCAACACGAGTACACAGAGAGCCTCAACAGCGGCGTCGACTGCGACGGCGCAGCTAGCGTTGACTGCGACGCCGGCTGAGCGACAAGTGAAACAGCAACAAGTGATAGCGCGCCTCCGAGCGCCACTGTAAACGAGTGTGTGTGTGTGTTAGTGTTCTTGGGACAGCAGTAAAAATTAACAAAAAAACAAGCAAAAACAACATTTTCAGAATTGCGTACATAGATATGAACATATTAAGTAGTAAACGAGCAGCACGGCAAGCACTTAATGAGAGGCGTAGAAAAGTGTAGAAGCAGCAACAAAAATATGAGATAAGATTTCATTTTCAACATGAATGTTAAATGCCCTTTACCATTTTTGACACATAAGAGCGTAGCGTATTTCAGAATTTAAAGGCACAACATTTCACTAAACGTTCGTTGAACTGATGTTCAATCAATTATGAACTGGTTTTCAAAGTTCCCCAACACATTCCCAATTCCCACAGCTCAAATACTTCCTGAATCATCTAGACATGCAATGCCTTACGCACAGTTAGTTATGCTAGAAAAGGGAATAGGAAGGTTCAGTAAACGCGCGAAGTGAAAAAATGCGGGGGCAGTGCTGTTTATCAGCCGAGCGGCAAAGACACTTAAGCTCTTGCCACGCCCACATTCAATTGTGTGTGTCAAGAATTGTCAGCAATTGCAGTGATTACCGAGCTAGTTCTTATCAGCTAAAGAACGCTGCTAGCATATGCTCATGGTACAGATAAGAATATGTTATTGGATTTTTATTATTGTGAATTCTGATTTGTTAAATATTAGAATTTTTGGCAAGCCGTTCCATGCACAAATATATGACATATGTATATAACGCACACGACAAATTAAGTCCAATAACAAATTTGGGCAAAGACCCCCAAAAACTCTCAAACACACATATATGCACACCCTCAAACGGCTGTGTACATAGTATGTAGAAACATTTGTGTGTACTTGGCGGCTAGGTCACTTGAAGGTTAACCTTAGCCGTGCAGCGCAGTGGGAAAACCCAACCTGAAGTGCAACAACCGCCATCAAATATCCGTCTAAAAATAGAGAGTCAAAACCGGCAACAGTTGTTGCATTTTCTGGAGAATTAACACTGCATTTTTGCTGAACCGAACTGCACTCAATAAGAGAAAGAGAGAGAGAGAGAGAAAGAGAGGGACTGATAGGCGTGTGCGAAGTGAGGGAGACAGAGAGCGATTAGGTTAAAAACAAAACTTACCTTGGCTTCTTGTGGCACATCCAACATTTTGCTTCAGGTAATTGTTTTAAAAAAAGCACCCTTAAAACAAATTTCCAATTTCAATTTTAAACGTTTTTACTTGATTAAAACTACAAGCAAAGTGCAAAATAAAATTAACCGAACAACAAGACCACACAACGCAAAGTATTTGAACAAACTGACAATAAAAACACAACAAGAGCAAGAAAGATATAAAAGTGATGCCGCCGTTTGATTCTCTGATTGGAGAACGCTTTGAGCATAATAAATAGAGATGAGCAGCAAAAGAGTAACCGTTTCTGAGTCACTGCGACTGTCACACGATATGACACAGCAAGGCACAAATTAATACTTCTCAAGTTGTATTGTAAGACATCGAAATGCCCAAATTTCCATATTTAAATTAAATTGCAAACGCAATGCGTGTTATATATCTATAATTGTAATTGAGGCACTTGAGATATCGGAATAATTGTTTGGAAAATAACAGATTAATTACTCATCTCCAATAATTTAAGCAGCTGATTGCGTGCTAGCGATGGCACTTTGAACCTCACATCAGCTGACAAGTATGACAGACCAAAACAAAAGGGTAGACAAGTAATGCGAAGTAAACAGGGCAAACCCATTCAAAGAGAAGCCTTATTAACTAAAACTTTGTTGCACACGCAAAGAAAAAACAACAATAACATGGGAGTTTGTTTATCATGCTGCGGAAACAGCGCCGAGGAGACAAATCTAATGCCACCTCCGGTAGGGAGTCGTTAATTTTGACTGAATACATTTAAGGATTTGCCTTTCCAGGAGGAGCGTCGCAAGCAGCAACTAGAGGCAGCAGAGCGGCGTCGACTGGAAAACGAATCCCGAGGAGTTAAAAATCTGGACAAGGTACGTCGTCAGCAGCAGCGTGCCACCGAGATGGAACGTAGAGAGGATGAGGCAGCACGCCAAGGCGACAACGGCCCCACTCTGCGGGTGAGTGTAGCTAACTGAACTTAAAATTGAATAGGAAATTTCGATTAGTGTTCCGAACACTGGGGACGGGTTTAATATCTGAATTGGATATGTATATTCTTTATTTGATTAAAAAATGAACACGTACATTTTTATTCCGTTTTCTTACAGTGGCAGGCAAGTTAAGGGCTTGGGAGAAACTCAACCGCAGCTGCCTTTACGGGTGTTTTTGTGCCCAATTGTTGACTGTGTATCAAGGCATTTGTATTAATATGTTTTAAAATTTGTGTAAATATGTACCACCAAACTATATTTGTGATTCAGCCCAATCCCACACATACCAAATTTTCAACCAAAAATAAAAGATTCTAAATCGGGCAAATGACCAGTGTTGGGAAACACAGCTTAACGCTAAAACAGCTGTTTTTTGTTCGTTGCGTCAACTGCGCAATCGGATTTGTTCTTATACACCTGTTGCAAGCTTTTGTTTTGAGTTTAATTAAATTAAAATGCTTTTCGACCCGAATTGCTTTGTTGTTTTGTGCCTGATCTCTGCCACACAATTCGGTTGCCACGCAAAAACCATAAAGAAAGCAGGAGCCAGTCTGCTGCAGCCACTGGATGAGTTAAGCCCTTGGCAGGGTAAATGGTTTCCCCATGCGCCAGGCGAGCCGCCCACAGTAGAAGTGCAACGTATGCAACTGCAGTCAAATGCAATACCTAAATCAAAAGATGCCTGGCAAGGCAAGTGGTTTCCTCAAGCTCCTGGTGAGCCCCACATATTAAGAAATGATATACAGGCCAGCTCTGAAACGGATACGTCTGCTGAAACCACAGATAGCTGGCAGGGTCGATGGTTTCCCCACGCTCCAGGTAAGCATCACAATTTAAAGGACGCTGCTCATCACGAACAAAAAACAGTGCAGGAGCCGCAGATCTTCATCTGCGATGACGGAGCGGTAAGCAAGCTGAACGTGGGGTTTTCCGACATTTTGGATTACTCATCCCACACACTTTTGTTTACTTATGTAGCACAACTTGAATGTTGATTACGAGCCAGAAGATATACGTCAGAACTACAATTATCTGTGCATTGAAAGCAACCGAAGCCGCTTTAATCCCAATTTGAACAATGAGGCCTTGCTGACGAAACACTTTTTGCCCAGTGCCTACGTGCCACCCGCAAAGTGCCTGAATGAGTCCATTGGTTATTCGCACCAGCCAGCCACAAGGTAAGCAATAGCTTGTCAACGGCCCGATAATCTGCTTTAATCGAATCTTTAAACAAACATTTGCTCTATAGCGGCGCCTTCCGTCCATTGCCTGCCGTCTATGGTACCTACAAGTACATACCCCCTCAGCGATATATGCGAAATCTTGCCGAAGGCGCCATTGTCATGCTATACCATCCGTGCGCCTACCAGGGCCAGGTGGCGCAGCTGCAGAATATTGTGGGCGGCTGTCTCTATAGGCATCTTATAACGCCCTCGCAGCTGCTGACGCCGGAACGACCACTGGCATTGCTGGCCTGGAGGCATAGTCTGACCATGTCGGTGGTGGACAAGCAACTGGTTGGCCAGTTCATAAGAAACTATGCCAAGCTGGGGCCACTGGCTATGCCAAATCTTTCACGCGTGGTAGAGAAGCGCGAAACCTACAAAGCTGCGCTGCTGACTGAAGCTCGACTTGTCACCGATTTGGATGACAGCGAGCTGTGCGGCTACTTGGATTTGCACATGTGAAACCTGTTAACTAATTACTGCACTCGAATATTCCTTTATAAATTTATATTATTTAATATTTAATGGCCACTTACAACTTAATAATTAGAATTTGTTTGAATTCTGTAATCGATACAGATTGAAATCGCAGTGCTGCTTATCGATGTGATATCGAAAGACCGATTGTTTTGTGGTGGCCGGCAGATAGACGCACGGCAATTTGTTGTTTTTTTTCCACTCTACCATAAATACCTTTTGTTTTGCGGCACTCACGCATTCAGTTCGTTTCTCTTCTACAGCTTAAAACAACTAATAAGCGATACGCGTTACTCCCATTATTCCGCCGATTGTGTTTGCGTTTTTATTACACGCCAGCTGGAAGCGTAAAGAAGAAGCAGGGCCAGCAACAGCAGCGGAGAGGTGAAACAAAGGAGACGGCGACGGCGCAGCGCACACAAAAACACAATTAATATTTTTTTTATATAAATTGTCGCTGTTGGATGAGCACGGGACCGCGAAAGTAACGAAGCTGCCAGTAGAAAAGTGATCAATGAACAATCTGACGTGATAATTACGTGAATACGTGAATATTCCTGCTCCTGCCAAACGCCCCAAGCAAATTAACCAACACACATCCTGCAACGCGTCTTTTACATAACAAGCGGCAAAACATGAACAATCTGGCGGACTCTGTGGTAATCGATCCGGGCTTTGGTGGAGGCGACAAACAGCAACAGGCGGTGGCCACACAGCCGCAGGATCCCAGCGTTGTGGTTCCCCCACCTGCCACCAAGCAATCCTCAGCCCTGAAGAAGACAAGCCGGTATCGTAGTCGCTCCCTGAGCGCCTCCTCCACGGACTCCTTCAGCTCGGCCTCGTACACGGGCAGCAGTGAGGACGGCGACGATGTGCCGCCGCGCGAAAAGGTGCAAAAGAACTCCAAGGGTAGCTCCGACTTCTGTGTGCGCAACCTTGGCGCCCAGCATGCGTTCGGTCGCCGTGAAATCGAGATTGCCGAGCAGGAGATGCCGGGCATCATGGCGCTACGCAAACGTGCTGCCGAGGACAAACCGCTGAAGGATGCCAAAATAGTTGGCTGCACCCACATCAATGCCCAAACGGCGGTCCTCATTGAGACACTGGCAGAGCTGGGCGCCAGCGTTCGCTGGGCCGCTTGCAACATTTACTCCACCCAAGTGAGTAGCTCTAAAGGGGAATATCTAGTCCAAAGTGCTAAAGTACAGATCTTAACATAAGCAAAACATTCTGTATGGGGGATCTTGTGGCAACTGTTTTGTGCTGCCTGCGCCATTTGCTTCACGCAAGTCACTTGAGCCAATTTGTTGTCACGCACACACACAGATAGAAAGACAAACAAATCATCAATCAAATGACGCGGACAAAGTTAAAGGGGTCGCGGGCGGCTCAAGTGGCTTGGTTTGGCAATCAAAGAAGCGAGACGCTGATAATTGATATGTGTGTGTCTCTGTGTGCGCGCCCGAAATTGGGTCTGGCCCCCTCTGGGCGCTATTTTATTCTACGGGCCTGCAAGGGAAACTGGTTTCTGGCGCCCAGCTCCGGCTACAGTCCGAGCTTGTAGAGCAGCTACCCCTCATCTACCCCAGGCGGCGGGACTATATCGAATGCAATTAGCATTGACAGTCCAAAGCTGTTTGCACTTTTTTATGTGCCGTCTAATTAATCGCTACACCCACACGGGTACGGATCGGACGGGGCAGCGCCCTTATCGACTTCTTATTGACACACTGAATCACACAGTAAGCGCTGCGTAGCTTTCAGCTTATCAGCCAAGTGCTGTGCTTAGGCGAAGTCACCTGTACTAGCCCGCCCGCCCGCCTTTCCCTCTAACGCCCCTTGCGTTTACTCTTTGCAGAACGAAGTGGCCGCTGCACTGGCTGAATCGGGTATACCGATTTTTGCCTGGCGCGGGGAGACGGAAGAGGATTTCTGGTGGTGCATTGATCGTTGCGTCAACGCCGAGAACTGGCAGCCCAACATGATACTGGACGATGGCGGAGATGCCACCCATCTGATGCTCAAGAAGTATCCAACCATGTTCAAGCTGGTCAAGGGCATTGTCGAGGAGAGCGTCACGGGTGTGCATCGCCTTTATCAGCTGTCCAAGGCGGGCAAACTGACGGTGCCAGCGATGAATGTCAACGATTCGGTGACCAAGACCAAATTTGATAACTTGTACAGCTGCAAGGAGTCCATTTTGGACAGTCTGAAGCGCTCCACAGATGTCATGTTTGGTGGCAAGCAGGTCGTTGTCTGTGGCTATGGCGATGTCGGCAAAGGCTGTGCCCAGGCGCTCAAGGGTCAGGTAAGAGATGCCTAGCAGTCGATCGTGAGAGCACGCTTAACATCACATTCTCAATCTCTCTCGCTCGCATCAACATGCCACCCTAGGGCTGTATTGTGTACATCACCGAAATCGATCCGATTTGTGCGCTTCAAGCCAGCATGGATGGCTTCCGTGTGGTCAAGCTGAACGAGGTGATCCGCAATGTGGACATTGTGGTGACGGCGACGGGCAACAAGAATGTGGTGGTGCGCGAGCACATGGATAAAATGAAGAGTGGCTGCATTGTGTGCAACATGGGCCATTCCAATACGGAGATCGATGTGAATGGGCTGCGCACACCGGATCTCACCTGGGAGAAGGTGCGCTCTCAGGTGGATCACATCATTTGGCCGGAGGGCAAGTATATCATATTGCTCGCCGAGGGAAGGCTGGTCAACTTGAGCTGCTCCAGCATACCCTCATTCGCGGTCTCCATTACATCCGCCACGCAGGCGCTGGCGCTGATTGAGCTCTTTAATGCTCCACCCGGTCGCTACAAGTCCGATGTCTATCTGCTGCCCAAGAAGATGGACGAGTATGTGGCCAGCCTGCATCTGCCCACATTCGATGCGCACCTGACGGAGCTGAGCGACGAGCAGGCCAAGTACATGGGCCTCAACAAGGCCGGTCCTTTCAAGCCCAACTATTATCGCTATTAAAGCGGCGACGACGGGACAATAAATGAACGCAAACAACAACAATTAGAAGAACAACGCCAACGAAAGTATTTCCAATGCAAGATATAAAACTATTTACGCGAGAGATGAGCTTCTCACAAATTGTTGACACAAAAGAAAAACAAAACAAAAAACATGAGAAAACAAAACACGACAACACAAAGTTACTATAAAATTGTATTGCTTAGTAAGCGAGACACGAGACACCAAAACAAAACAAAACAAAACAGATCACAGAAGAAACAAGAAAATCTGACGCTTTTTAGTTGCTAGCATTTAACTAATAACTAATGTATTTTTTGGCAGTTATTTAATAGCCGCAAAAGTATTTAATTTTTCGTCACATTTTTGTCATTTGCAAACACTACACACACACACACCCACACTCACACGCACACGCGACTAACGGTTTCGGTAGCTAACCAAACTTTCGCTTTGCTAACACACCCGCAGCCCCTCGCCGCCCCCCGCCGCCGCCCACATTTGGTGTACTTAACTAGCGGCATTTGAATTTATAATATAAATTTAATTATATTGAAAACGTTTTGTTGCCGTTGCATGGAATTTACTTAAATATTTACACCTATTTGTACTTGTTTAATCGTATCTATTTGTATTCGTTTATTTGCTTACTTTTTTTTTTATACTAAAAGCATGTTTCATGTTTCCCTTTTTTATTGTAATTTTTGTATCCTTAATCCTTGAGCGTCGTTCACGATGACAGTTAATTGAAATGCAGTGCAAATAATTCCATTTATTCAATTATTGAGGTACTTATGTACACGCAGGCATATATCAGATAAAGAATTCTATATATACACGCATATACATACATATTATTAGAGAACTTTATGTATTAAAACAAAACCAAAACAATTGAACAAAAGTGAAACAAAAACAAAATGTTTGTCAAAAACAAAAAAAAAAAACAACTGAACTTTAAGCGAAAATTGTGAAAGTAATATATAAACAATAAAAAAGTTTTATTGAGCAATGTGTTTGGTTTTCTGATCAGCCCCTAGAGCCCAGTTCAAAAGAGAATACAATTCGGTTTATTTTATCAGATGCATCACTCGTCTATTTTTATTTGATATTATGCCTTAAAAATTTTATGTTTCTTTGATATTTTTTACCATAATTTGTAAATTACACGTTACAAAAAATTATACATTCTTGATTTTTGTTTTGTTTTTTCGTTACTTAAAATGCCGTAGACTACATGAAAGTATTGTAGATTCGTCTTAATTAGGTTTAATCCTAACATATTGGTGGGGTGGACCCCTTTGCCGAGCCCAAAATAAGTCATCGACGACGTCGTCTACACCGCGTGCAAATAATTCTTAAAAAAAAAAACGAGAAATGGAACAAACAAATGTCGCAGAGCCGAAAATTTGCATTCAAAGGAATCAAAGGGACTAAAAAACTAAATGTTAAGCGATGTGTATATGCGTTTCCTTATATATGTGTGTGTGTGTGTGTGTGTGCTCGTGGGTGTATGTATGTGTGTGTGCGTGCCTGTTGTTGTTGGTGCTTGTTCACCAATTGCATCTGGATGGGACTGGGCATGTGGCTGCAAACAGCAGCTTAGTCAAGGAAGTGCGGCTTGAGGTGCTTGAGCATGCCGAAGGTGCGGAAGCGTTTCACTTTCATGACCTTCATTAGCTCATCGTCGCATATGGCGAACTGCTTGTTCTTCGGATCGTACAAGTCGCGCTCCTTGATGATGGCCCACACCTTCTTGACCACCTCGTGGCGCGGCAACGAGTCGGCGCCCATGAGAGCCGACAGCTCCGGGGACAGATTGTAGGCGCGTGTGAAACCGGTGCTCTTGCGACCAGTGCCGGAGCCGCTGCCAGCGGATTTGGCTGCCTTCTTCTTGGGCGCTGGTTTCTTTACCACCTCGTAGTCGGAATCGGAGCCAGCATCGCTTTCAGTGCCCGAATCATCGGCATTGAGGCTCTTGCGCTTCTTCTTGGAGGACAGCTTGTGCTTGGTCGGCTGTGGCCGTTTCTTGGGTGCCGGCTTCTTCTTTTTCTCCTCCTCGCTGCTGCTGGCTACCTCATCCTCCTCGCTGGGCTCGCTATCGTCCTGCGGCTCGGCATCGGGATCCTTGCCATCATCCTCATCGTCATCGTCCTCCTCCTCCTGCTGTTCGTTGATAACCTCCATCACAATCTTGTCAAACTCCTTCTTACGGCTCAGCAGCGAGCAATTCAATTTGCTTTCCACCTGCTCTCGCACCCTCTTGGCCGAAATGGTCGATAGATCTGCATCCTTAAGCACAGACTGGATTTCGCTCCTCAGCTGAGTGCTGGAGATGTCCGACATTTTGTTCTCGTTGTTTTCTCGTTTTGTTGTACGACCGACGCAGACTCAGAAGCCAGACACGTTTCGTCAGCACTGAAATACGAGAAAAGTACACGTGAGTTCACGTTGTTTTTGTTTTTATTCAATACTAATAATAATATGTTTTACTGTTGCTTACCCTGTAATATGTTTATAATATTTTCTCGCTGCCTGTGCGTTTTTTCGGTCCAAGAGTTAAGCGGCTCGTTTTCTTTTTTCTTTATACCCTCTCCGGCGTCTTAATAGGGTTGCAACTTACAAGCCTGGATACACTACGTTCAAGCTGCATGATGGCGTCTTTAGCGTTGCAATGCATGTCTATCGCGCTTGTCTCCAATGCAACTCTGCCTGCTGCAGGGCTGCCAACTGTTTGCAAATGACCTGATTGTTAGTTCACGCGAACAGCTGCAGGCGGCGCTAGTGTGCAATGCAAGTGTTTTTGTGAATTCCGCGACGTCTGTGCATAAAATTCGAAATTAAAGTAACATAAATGCGTTAAATTAGTTAAATTGTGTGCTCCCAGTTAAACTCAGTGCTCAAAGTTGTCAATGCGCACTCCACAGCAAGTGTCAGACGCATAGTGCCAACTGGCGACAGACGCAGCCAACAATAACAATCGCCCCAGAGACGCCTTCACAGCAAACGGGAACGGAATCCAACAACAATCGCAGCAGCAGCAGCAGCAGCGGCAGAAGCAGCGCTGAGGTAATTTTGCTATTTTTTATGTGGCTTTTGTTTATTTTTATTGTTGCCCCGCTTACATGAGTGTATGCGTGCGTGTGTCTGTGCGTGTAAGTGTAGTTGCTCTATTTCTAAATTTGCTTCTGGGTGCAACCTGGAGATGGCGACGTGTGAATTGTTGTTGTGCTCTGCAGCTAGCTATTTTTTTATTTGCGTTGTTCTAGTATTAGCTAGTTTTTGGCAAACAAATTGTGTATGTAAAATAAATGCAAAAGCTTGCAATGCTTTTTTTTTCTTATTGGCAGCGCTTTTGCCTTGTCGCTTTTGTGTCATATTCGCGTCTTTGTTTTGCCGGCTTCGCTGCGACGCCCTTTTCCAATATGAAGTCGCATGTGCGGCTGGTCTCATTGGTTCTGTGAGCGCGCGTGTGTGTGTGTGTGTGTGTGTGTGTGAGCCCGTGTGTCTCTGTATGGGTGTCGCTCGTTGCGTACGTGCGTAAAACACATCGCTTACAATTAATATAAATGAACTTGTATATGAACAATAATATTCTATCGGAAAGCTCATAAAGCATATCTCATCACAGTACATAAAAACCACACAGTATTTGCTCGCGAATTGGAACTTTCCGAATTGGGATTCCGATTAGAATATACTACAACTTTGGGAAATCTCTAATTTAAAAATCATAATGGGAATGAAAAATGTGAAAGGGTATATGTATGTGAATGTTCTATATTATATTACACAGTTATTAATATTCATTATTTTTAGAATATTTTAAAAAGTTTCAGCATAACAACATTCTATAATATACATAAAGAGCATCGGTTTCTTACAGTACCTTCTGTCGAGGGACTACTGTAATAAATTGCTAGGTACTCGTTTATTTATAAGTAGCTGATTGTGGCTGATTGGAGGGTGTGTGTGTGTGTGCCACTTGCTTGCCTCGGTGCAAGATTGTAACACGAAAAGCTATCCACCCACCATGCCTAACCCTGTGCAACCCTGTCGCAGTTGTTGTAGGCGGCGGTTTTTGATGTCGTCTTCGGGCCATTACGATTTTATGGCTTTTGTATTTTCCCTTGGCAGTGCTTGAAAAAACAGCTGTAAACCGCAGCTACAACAATTATTAAAACAATAACACAAACAACAACAGTTCACGAATTCCGCACACTCTTTCCAAAACATTAAGATTTTTAATGTTTCATTCCAACCTGTTGCGGGCAAGAAATTCCTATAAGATTCCGCTACGTGCCACAAAATCCTATTGGAGCCTTTGCATATATTTTGTATGTAAAAAGAGCATTCAAACGTTGACATTGCTTCACGTACATCTGTTTATACGAATTTCGTGTAATATTATTGGTTGATTTTGGTATTTATTGCAGTGCCTGGCGTTGAACGTAGCGCTAGCATCAGTGATGAGCAAAATATCACTGAATTGCGATCGATCACTGCATAAAATAACTATCGGCTATGGCTGAAGTGTATACAGATTATCGAAAATCTGGCAGTTATCGAAGCTGTGGCTCAGGTTCAGCTTGAAACGAAGTTATTGAAGCACTGCAGTTGTGATGCAGCAAATAATTAAGGATTTGAAGCTTTGTCTCAGGCTCAGCTCAAAACGAAGTTCTAGTTCAAGTTATCGAAAACACGGAAGTTATCGTGAAGCAATTATCAAAGTTATCGAAGCTCCGGTTCAAGTTGAGCTCCCAAAATTATCGGAAGCTCCTCTTAACCGGGAAAAAGTTCCATATTAGAATAATTTATTTCAATTTTGTGTAAAATTGTATGAAAATATAACGAAAGTTATATTTTCAAGAATATTATACCATAAGACTAATAAAAAAATATAATATTCGTGATATTAATGAAAAGTTCGGCTATCATCAGCAGTTTTATTTGCCACAATTAATGAGTTGTTGTCGTGTTTTCTTGATGTTGCTAGTTTGTGGCGTGTTGTCGCGTTGTTAAAGCGCACAGTGGCCGTTAAAAGTTGATATACAACAGTTGCTGGCACCTGTTGCAGCTGCTACACCCACACACATGTGCACATACTTTTGGTTTGCACTGTGCCATGCCTTCATATTTCTTTTTGGATTTCTTTGTTGTGTGCACCAATTAGTTGTTCTTGGCATAGTTTTATTTTGTTTCGTTTCTTCGCATAACATTGCTCATTTAAGTAATCACATAAATTATCGCCGATTATGAAATCACAGCACAGTTGAGAATTTCCATCAGCCATTTTCCCGCTGGGCACAAAGGCAACTGTTGAGGATTGTCATTCGTTTGGGCCAAGAGATGTGACAGTTAGAAAGACGTTAGCTTAATTCTAAAATTGTTGATATTTCAAAAGGAATCTTTTAAAATAATGTTTAAAAAAGAGTTGCCACTCTCTTAAGTGGTGTTTACTGCAGCCGCAAAAAGAGTTGCCAGCTGTTCTTATTAACGAGTAGCCCAAAACAAAAGCTATTCAATTACGAACTAGTTTCGCGGAACCGTTTTGTTATTGCTGGTGCCTCGAAGAGTTGCCACCTGACTTTTTAAACGAATAGACAACAACTAAAGCTGTTAGATTTACGAACTAGTTCCGCGGAACCGCTTAGTTCTTGCTGTGGCTCAAAAGAGTTTTTAGATGGTTTCTCAAAGAGTTGCCACCTGACTTTTTAAACGAATAGCGCAAAAAAAGTCCATACAACTTACGAACTAGTTCCGCGCTTAGTTATTGTTCCGCTGTGGCTTTAAAGAGTTTTTAGCTAGTTTCTAAAAGAGTTGCCACCTTATCTTAAAAATAATAGACAAGTAAATGTTTCCACATTTCGTGGTTAACTGCAGATTTATTTAAAATTTGGCAAATCTCTTTAAAAAAAATCCCTGCTATGCACTGCCATTTACTGTTTGTTTATGGCTTTTCCAAACTAAATGCTCGCCATTTCGTCATTATAAACGACGTCAAAGTGAGCAGCCCCAAAAGTCGAGCAACTTTCGCATGGTGAAAAATGTTTTTCAATTTCTTCGCCCACGCCGCAAGAATTCTGACGCGCTCGATTTCAGTTTCTCTGGCCGATCTTTTATTTTCTTTTATTTTTTTCATTCTTTCTATATGTTTTTTTTTTATGCTACCCGCTTTATAATTTATATGCGAAAGAAAATTGGAAGGCAAATAAATAAATAAATAGGAAAATGTTGTTTCTCCTCCTGCAACGAAAAAGACATTTGAAAACGAATTGCCAAAGCTGCGGCCAAGTGTGCGTGCACAGTGGGCCATAAAGTTTGCCGGCCCACTCATAATTCATAAGCCAAAAAAAAACAAAAAAAAAAAACAAAAACCCCAAAAAACTATTTGCAAATTTCTACTGACCCTGGGCGAGGTGCTTGACAGCAGCAACAACATCAGGGGCCATTATTATGGTTGCAAAATGTCATTGCACATATATTTTTATGTTTTCAAACATGTGCACAATAAATTTGTGCAACCACGCCCACCCGCCACGCAGTCAAAAATTGTGCAATAAATTCCCTTACTTTTCTCTCTCTCTCTCTCTCTCTGGCTTGTCCCTGACATTGGAGCATGGAGGAAAATGTGTGGAAATTGCAATTTTTCTGTGAAAAATGTGCGCATTGTTTGCGACAATTTGCCAGACAGCGCGAATAGTTGTGAAAACTTTTTTTTGTTTTGGCTAAATGTGCATTATGAGTAATTAGTTCGAAGTCTAGGCGCCTGCCCACGTAAATCCGTCACATAAACAACCACGCCCACTGTTCTGGGGGCAGGTGGAGTGGGGTGAGGGGGAGGGGGGGGGCGGCTCGGACACGTAAGGTGCATAAGGCACAGTTGTTGACGTTCGTCTCTTGACTTGCGCCCAATTTGGCAATAAATTTGAAAAATTATTTCTAAAAATTTTGTTCGCGCACAAAAATGTTGTCGCTAAATAGCAACAACAACAACAACAACAACAACAAGAAAATCAACAAAAACAACAACAACAATAATAAAAGCCAAAGCTGAGTCAATTTTCTTATTTTTAGTTGCTATTTTTCTTAGCCGCGCGGTGCGGAGCGGCAAATTCGGTTGATTGCGATTTATTTTTGCCAACGCTGCGCTCGAAATCTATTTTATAAGTATATATGCATACATATATGTATATATATATTTATATATATTTATATATATATTCCACATATTTTATTGAACACTATACTAAAGAAATTTCGAATAGAAATCATATTTATGCTAAATTTAAAAATATTATTTGGCTGGCGGCTAAATTTAAACATGCCATTTACTTCGTGAAGCAACAGGGCGGGAGATGCGGGGGCGATTAGTCATGCAGGTGTTTTGCTGCACACAAAACGATTTCGCTTTTTGTTTAATAAACCACTCGTGCCCACAATTTGATCAATGTTTAGATCATTTCTGCAAATCATATAAATTATATTTTAGATATTGGTAATTGGCGCTCGCCAATTTGTGAATTTGTTTATGCGAATTTATGCTAAGATCTGGCGAAAGTTGTTAAGAAAATTGCTGTTTGTGTTTTGTATTTTTTTTCTTTCTATTTTTCAAGGTCGTTCTGTGTTTTGTTATTGTTGCCTGGCAAGGATTTTCGTTATTGTGTATTGCCGTGTGTAGTTAAGATTTGTTGGCCCATTGCCAAATAATTAATACATACTATTATAAATCTTCAAACTGTTTAGTTAAGTAACAGTGCTCCGTTAAGTATACGCATTCATATCATATAAAATGATCATATTCATAATATTTCAAATTCTTGAGCGAAAACTTTTTATGGTTTTATCAAAAATAATGTAGCACCTACCAGATTTTTCTGGTCTTCTATATTTTTGGTTGTATATTTTTTATTTTTGAACATTTAAAACTGTTTTTAAAAGAGATGTTTATAGCTCGGGAGCTGATCAACTCCCACACAAAGCGAACCTTGGGATAAGGATTGCCACCCTTCTCATAAACAGTGCTGAAAACTTTTGAAATTGCTACCAGTGTTGAACAGAAAAAAACTTAAATTTCAACTTTTCAAAATGGAAACTTGAGGCGTTACCTTGGCTAAACTTGCGTCAAGGCACCTGAATCGAGGTTCGAAATGTCAGCTGCCTCCTGTCTTCCCCAAGAAAAAGAAATCCAATTTACTTGAGAAATTTGCTAATTGCTCGCACCTTGACCCAGAAACCCACTTAGCGTACGAACCGTGTGTTAGTTCCCGAATGCTCCGCCTAGAACTTGGCGTGTAGGGTGTAAAATACAAACGAAAATGCGGAGCGTAGAAAATAGAAAAACTTTTGAAAACTTTTCGAAAATGTGGCGCTGTGTGCGCTCTCTCGAGCTCTCCGCCCTATGCTATTTTCGAAAACATTTTTTCGAAATGGTGAGCGCAATGCCGCAGGCAGGCAACTGTTGTTGTTCAGCCTGTTCGAAATGTGAAAGTTCATTGTTTCATTGAGGAAAATGGTGAAAAACTTTTTGGCCGCGCCGCCGCCAAATTATCTAACAGTTGCTGACGATGCGCGTTGAGAATTTTCGTCGGTTTTTTCAGCATTTTTTTCGAAGATCAGGGAGACTCGCACTCGCGCTCGCACTCGCTGTCGGATATTTCTAAGTTCGAAATCTCTGGCGATCCGTTGCACGCCTGGCCGTGCCGTGTGTGTCTGCTCAGTGGTCTCTGCGGAGGTTTCACGTTTGAACGTCTCGTACAATTTTCACGGAAAAGCGCAATGTGAAAGCCAAAGACTAGAAATAGCCACGGCGTGACGTCCCCAAACAGACTAGACACTGACAGTAGCAAACCGAAGCGAACCCAGTTCAGATCAGATCATATCAGATCGGATCGGATCAGATCAGATAAGATCATTATCGCAGACCATTGATCCTGTAACTGTAATACTGTCGCGCCTGACAAATGGCCAGCCAAGTGTGAGAGAACGAACAACTGTGCAGAAAATGCTGTTAACATTCCAAAAACAAAATAAACGAAAGTGTTGAAAAGATTTTGCAAAGTTAATTTTGATTTGCAACTAGCGATTTCTTCGATCGGCAGGTGGTTTCCTCTAGTTTCTCATCAAGAAACTCCCAACCCACAGCCATTGCAGGCGCGTCTCGCGTGTGTGCGTGCGTGCGTGTGTGTGCGGTGTGTCTGAGTGCGCATTTGTGTTTGTGTGCTCGTTCCTTGTCAGTGCGTGTGTATCGGTGTGTTGTGCTTAACCAAATGTTGTGCCAGCTGACATTGTGTTGGTCGTGAGGTCGTCGCCGTCATCGTCGTCGTCGTCGTCGAGTCCAATACACGTAACGCGACGTGGACAGCGCAAGCGATTAAAGTTGGCCAGTTGGAAATTGGAGCGCTGCTGGAACCGGGACCGGGACCGGGACCATGCCGATCATTGCCGATGCCACCAACGATGAGCCACCAGCAAAATGTTGCAAATATTGTGAGGGTATGCCTAGAACTTATATACATGTAGTCTCTATTAAATATATATACGTCACAATATAATAATACTTGCTGTTCGCTTTGCCGCCGGCGAGTTCACTAACCCAACAACATATATCCCTGGATGCCACGCACTTTTGGTATCTATTAGCTGCGGTAATTAACTGGGAGGCAAATCCAAACACTAGACGCTCGGACTCGGACTCTAGACGAAAGCGTTTCGATTTGATTGCACGCTTGCTTCAATTGAAAGATTTATGCGTAATTTGCCTCAGCCTCTCGCTCTCACCACCTCTCTATAAACTCTCTCTCTCTCTGTCTCTCTCGCTGCTGGCTCTCTCACGCTCTGCCTCTCTCTCTCTCTCTCGGTCGGCACTTGATTGTCTTGACTGGCATTAACTTTGTGCCCCCGAGTTTTGACTCTTAGTTTTGTTTGTTTTAATTTTCAATTTTTCAGTTGTTCTTGTTGTTGTTGTTGGAAAAGGAACGCCAGCAATTGTTAGGGCACTTTGGTTTTCCTGCTTTGTTGCCACTAAAAAGCCGCTGACGTGTCTACTTAAAATTTTCAAAATCATGACAGCCACACTAACCGGCCTCTGGGCCCACAAATTAGCCGTAAAAAAAAACAATCTTTTATTTTATACATAATATATTTTATTTTTTTCAAAAAACAAATACCTTTTGCATGTTTTCACACAGCCGGAAATGTCAAAACAATATAGGCAAAACTAATTATATTACATTTAAAAATAGCTTAAAACAAACTAGACTTTAAGATGTATTTAAAGATATATACATATATACAGAGATGTCTCTCAAGCCTTTATCACTCAGCTAATGTATGCCTAGATGGGCCGAGTCTTCTATTATAAAAGCAGATTTAGTTTTAGTTGTTATTTTGTTTATGTAAATTTGAAAACTTGTGTTGCCACAAATGAGGCAGCTTGTGGCTGACGCTGCTGCAGCCGGTCTCGGTAGGGTTTCTGGCTGCTTCTGTGGGTCTGCTCTGACAGCCGTGCGTTGGCACGCGATCAATGTCAATTTAAATGCTGCTGGCCATTGGCCTCCCACTTAATACCCAGCCCCTGCCCGCCCACCTACTGCTGTTCCTGCGAGCGAGCTGTCAAAAATAACTGCAACAATGTAAATTTTGTCAACTATGGCACAGAATATAGTCAGGGCTTTCTGTTTTTAAGTTCGATTCTTGAAGCTTGTTTCCCATATTTCGAAATTAGCAAACTTCTTTGTTTTTCATCTTAGTTTTCCATATCCCTGAACTCTTTTAAAAATTGGCAAACTTAGTTTCCATCTTTGTTTTCCATTTCCAATAACTAAAACTTTAGTCTTTGCAAAATATTCAAATTTATTGTAAAACAATCTTATTTTACATTTATAATTGCCCGTTGTACTGAAAATATTGAAAGCCATAAATATTTTCTTAGACAAAATGCGGGCTAAATTTGACCTCAACTTTAAATTCACCAAATATGGTCAGATGTATGCAACGATTGGGGTCAAAGTTATTTATACTTTGATGCTGGGTCGCGCTTAAAAGTTTTATATTTTGAGCGAACCCTCAAAAAGTCGTTTTTCTTTTCATTCAAAACATGTTTGATGCTTTTCTTCTTAAAGCTGTTCTTTTGGATTAGCTTAAGATTCAGTTCAGGGAAAACTTATTTGGTAATCCGGGCTCAAGCCGGCTTAAAGCCTTGAATAAAATACAGTCAATGGACCGCAGATAAAGACGTTGAAACTTCCCTAAAACTTGCACTAGATATATTCAAAGATAAGCCCAGGTTCTAGCCAAGGTGTGAATTAAGAAGAAGCTTTAAGAATGCTTTAAATGCATTAAAAATTTAAAGTAAAAGAATGCATACAAATGTTTAAGATTTATAGAGACTTAATCAACTTGCGTTATCGGATTTATTATTCACTTTTTTATATTTAATTTATATTTATATTTAAAACATAAATAAAATTTCACAAATAAAATAAGAAATGTGTTAGCACATAAATATGCTGTTAAGATACGCATTTATCACATTAAATATGTGATATGTACGCATATCATTTTAATATAAAAAAAATATTAAAAATGAATTTGATTTACATAAAAATATTACATAATATAAGTCAAATTATGCTGGAAAAAATGTTAAATATCGCGCGAAAAACTTATCCATTATCAATCAGTCTATTTTGTGCCCTTTAGTTAGCAAGTTTTTAGGCACTTTTGATGAACATTTCTGATTGCTGCAGACAAATAAATAAAAAGTTGTAACTTTCCATCTTTTGCGGCTGCCTGCGAAATCAAACGCATTTAAAAATAAATAAATTATTGTAATACCCAGAATTTATCAATCTAAAAAGCGGGCAAAAAGAACAACATGCATTGAGGATCAACAGACATTAGCCATATAAATGACTTGTTTACAACAAAGCGCAGTGTTTACAAATAGTCAAATAACCCGCAAGAAAAACTCATTTCTGTGGGCCAGGCCAACGTCGAATTGCTACCGAGCCTTGACACTCTTTTTTTCGAAAATGTTGTTGTGATTTTTATACAGTTTGTTAGATATACACATGTATATCTTTTAGCTATAACAATTTGATTAGCCTGATCGCGATGCTGCTCTGGCCGCGTGGGCGTGGCACTTAAATGCAGTTTTGTCTCTCATATATGTATACTAAACGGAAAATTTTCATAATGCCGTCTTTTTTTATGACTTTTCTTATTTACATGCAAAGCGCGCGCAGCCTGCGCTCAGAATTAGCTGCCGTGCGACAATCGACAGCAGCAACAATAGCAACAACAACAATAAAATCAAATTTAATGAAAGCCAAATGAGATATACATATAAGCAAAAGGGCCGCAGTCGCTGCGCGTTGTTTTTGTGGCATTTGCTGCCTTTTTTTATGGCCATTTTCAATGTAATTTTTAGTGTTGAGTGGGGCATAAGGTGTTCTTTTTGTTTGTTTGCCTCGATGTGTGTGTGTGTGTCCGTAAGTGTGTGTGCTTGTTTGTATTTGTGCTCTTAAACACTTTAGGTAAGTGTCGCCTTTGCTGCTATTTTTAGTATTGCCCCCAACGTTCGCCACGTTCCCTGTCCAGCGGCACGTTTGCAGCTCGACAATTTTGATTCAAACGAAATAGGATGTAATCTTTTGTGGTTGTTGTTGTGTACGCAGAAAACACTGGAATATGTGGCATTATCTAGTTAAGCAGTTTTTGTAAACATGTTACAGAACATTTATGAATTCCCACTAATTTGACTATGTAAAATTTAGCCCGTCACAAAATCTAACGACAATAACAGACAGAATATTCATATTATATTCAACAAACAAAATATACGTAAACATTGTAAATAGTTGCATTAAATCTAACATTGTTTTATCTTCTCTAGAACCTGCCTTTTGTCGTATAAATTCATAGAATTTCATATTCCGTTTACTTAGATTATTTTCCATTTATGGAATTTCTGACAGATCTATAATGCAATTAAAAAATCTGTTAACTTAGTTGCATTAGATACCACTTAACTAAATAAGTTCTACTGACACATAAATAACTTTAATTTAATTTAAAAATCTCTGTTTAGTTGTTGCAAAAACACAAAGCTGCCTTATAGACAAACAATTTTTATAATAATTTCCTAATTGTAATTCGTTGTACTCAGATTATCTGCGCATTATATGATAAGGCTAATTAAATTTAAGCTATCTGAAACTTGAACGTAAATCCAAAATGCAAATCAATCGAATCCTTTTTGGCTGATCAGTCAACAAAACATATTTGAAATACATGCTGGACGCGCTACAAAGTGGCAAATTAATTTGCACTTGCATCATCAACAGCAGCAACAGCAGCAGCAGCGACAACAACAATAACGACAACAACAACAATTTGATATCCATGGCAGCCAGGGCGGCGTGTTCAATTGTTTTTTGCCTAGCTGCGCGCCAAAGTGTGAAAAACATGCCGCAAAATTGCCGAAAAAGCCACACGCACTCACACACAGGCACATTCTCACACATAGGCACACACACACACACACACACACACACAAACGGTTGTTTCTGTTTTGTATTTTGCCCATTTTTGTAGTCAAATTTCGTTGCTGCCGCTGTCTGATTCAGCCGCGTTGCGCTGACGTCTTTCGCCGTGCCAAGCGGCTGCGGTACAACGTGGCGTATGAATAATTTTGTTGTTTTCGGTTTTGCGCAATGTTTACACACACACACACACTCACACATACACTAATATATTGGCAACGCACGGCGCGCCAAAGTCAAAATTCATGTAAACCACTGTATAGTATGGGGGGCATGGCCTTTGGGGGTGGTCATTGCTGGACAGTGGGCTAAGGGGGGGCGGGGGGGGGGGCGGATTTTTGGGGCTTACGGTTGTTACGAGTATTCTGCCATTGTCGGAGCTTGTGCATTACTTTTGCATATTGCAGACATATGTTCGACAGAGAGCAACAGGCCGCGTTTTTCTATATATCTTTTTTGTTTTCCAGCGACTGCCACAAATTTTTGTGTGTGTGTAGCATCCACATTTGATTAGCGTTGAATACTGTTCGGAATTCGCCGGAAAAATGAAATGAAAGCTCACGCGTTTGTGCAAATAAACAAATGGAATAAAAAAAATTTCAGCAATGCTGTGAAATAGTTGGAGTATAGCTGTTGCATTCCAGTTTTATTGGGATTAACCAGAGATTTTGATAGACAGAAAGAGAGAGAGAGAGAGTGTGCATGTGGAGATATTGTTTAGAGAGTTGAAATCTTTGGCAATTTCCAGGTGTGTTTTTACTGTTTGCCCTCTCAATTGTTGTTGTTCTTTTTGTTTTTATGTATTTTTAAATTCTTTTCATTTCGCTTTCTGTGCTGCTGCTTATTGAAAAATATTTTTCTTGGCAATTACCGTTGAAGTTCCCAGCCACGTTGCCGTGCAACATGTGTGTGCCACCCCAGCCCCAGCCCCGGCCGCAGACCTCACTC